TGGTGGTGGTGGTGGTGGTGGTGGTGGTGGTGGTGGTGGTGGTGGTGTGTGTGTGGTATACGGGGCAAGTCAGAACTGCAGCCAAAACAGTGACTGCGGGGTGGAGCAGTTGAGGGTTTTAAGGAAGTGGAGGTGTTGGGAGCAGTGCTTTCAGGAGAGACAGCTGATACTGACGAGCAGGCTTCAGCCCGAACAACAGCAGCTGTCTTGCTCCGCCCTGCTACTGTACTGCCTCCGCACCTGTGCCCCAGCCTAAACATTCTCCAGACAGGCTGCACATTCCACAGGCAGTCTTGGAATTCTAGACATGCTTTGGGCCAAGGCAAGAGCTGCTAGGAGTTCCCAGTCCCTGCAGAGCCATGGGAGGAGTGGAGAGGGGGGTCCCCATGGGCCTGCCCCTGGGAATGGGAACCGGAGACCTTGGAGTCCTATGAAGACACCCGGAATGACCCTGCAAGGATGATGTCCCAGGGGAGGAGGAGCCACAGTGGTAGTGCGGCCTGCCAGTGCATCCTTCGATAGCCTATCCACACACCTGTCTGCAGCGTAGGGTCAGAAGTTGCGGTGTATCAGAGTGAGGCCTTGCTCATAATCTCATAGATTTTCTAGCCAGCTCCTGGAAATGGAAAGGCAAAGGAATTCAGAGAGGAAAGCAGCACAGCGTGGTGGACTGACATAAAGTCTTCTTGGAATGTTTCCTACAAGAGGTGGTTTTGAGCAGGACCCCAAAGAACACCAGCGGAACAGCTGTGTGGTGCGTGGGGAAAGACTTGAAATGAAGGAAGGAAGCATCGGGACAGAAGCTGAGCCCCAGCTGCCTCAGGAAGAGGGGGCCGTGCCAGGCAGGCCTCCCGTTCTATAGTGCCCAGAGAATGGTCCACAAGAGTCTGCCTTTGGTTTATAAACGAGTTTATTAAATGTGTAGCAATCGAAAGTAAAAGAATGAATAATGAGTCACAGATAGAGAAGCAGAAGCTAGCTGGACATTATCAAACCAGTTACTCAAGATATGCAGCAGAGATGCTCTCTCTGCCCCACCGAGAGAGCAGAGAGCAATACCATCAAATTAGAGATACCATCTGGCCAAAATCACCTGGGGAAGCCCCCTATAGGCAGGCCTCTGGAGTTCCCCATCCAGAGAGTCTTGGGTGGAGGAGACTGTCTCCTGGGTGATGCTGGCGAGGCTTCTGAATAAAAGAACACAGTGGCAGGTAGATCTCTTCAAATCAGGTTCTCACAACATACAGTAGAATCCAACGGGACAAGCTGAAGCAGTCAGTAGTTCCCTCTGAGCTTTCTTCCTTCCTGCGGCTTCATCCTCACTGCAGGCGTTTTCACATTAAAGGATTAAATGGTAGTGATATCAGCTGGAACCGGTTGACCTGGCTGTTCTCGAGGACACAGTGCTTTTTACCGATGCAGTATATGTTACACACTCCTGAGCATCCGGCTTACTTGAGGAGCCAGGCACTCTTGGGGCTGCAGCAGGAGAAGGGCTGGGAGAGGGCCAGGAGGCCTGCCAGTGCTGCGTGAGAAGGCGGGGTGGCTCTTGGTACTGTGGGATTCCTGAGTAAAGGGGCACAAAAGGTGCTGGGTTCAGGGGCCATTTTGAAACTAGTATAGGTAAAAGTTGCCAAAGGCTCAAACTTGAGAGGACTAGGGACTCCAGGGTAACCCTTAGAGTTCTAGTCACACGAACACTTCTACAGGTTTAGATCAGAGATATTGGGGATGGAGGTTTCTTTGTATCCAGTTTTGGTATTTATCTTTTTGTGAAATTCTAGACATTCAAACATGTTGCAGAAATAGCACAATATACTCCCATTTTCAGGCCAGGGAGATGCCTCAGTGGGTAAAGGCACCTGCTGCCAAGCTGGATGACATGAGTTCAATCCCTCGGGCCCAGATGACAACAGTGTTGTTACTTGGGCTGTTTTACTGTTCTGTTCCCTCCTCATCACATGGAGAGCTAGCCTTCCCCAGAGGGATGCTGGGAGTAGTTTTGCAAGTTGTTCTCTGACCTTCACACGTGTGGTTTCAGCACAAAAGCAGATCTGTCATGAAGTTCCGTCTTTGTCCATTAGGTGGCATAGGGCATCTGTACTAGGCTCACTGATTTGAATCTTCAGGGTCCCTTTGGGTCTGCGGCTGGCAGCAAGGGTCCCTTAGGAAAGATCTACATCCTGCTATCTAGACTGGGAAACTGAGGAAGAGAAAGGGAAAGGAACGGATAGAGGGGGAGCAAAGAGTGAGAAACATGATTGGGTCCACACACTTGAGTATGGATTTCCAGGCTCTGTCACAGGTTCTCTCTGAGATGTGACCTACGCTGGCTGCCCACCCCACATGCCGGTCCTGGTAGGCTTTCCTGGTAGACCTCCTGCAGGGAGGCCTCCCTACAGCTGCAGCTGAGGGTCTGGCTGAGTAGAGACCCCAAGGGTAGTGGGCTGAGGAATGGTTTGGCTTCCTGCTCACGCTCTCCGTCTGTGACCACATGCTGGCTGAAGGGCTGGCTGTTCAGCTCAATCTCCAGCAAGGCATAAGACATCAGCCCGGGCTGGCTACCACAACGCTTCCCCAGGGAAGTGGAGGCAGAATGTCTTCACTTACTGAGATCCTAGGATAAACTCACCACTACAGCAACCCCTATACAGGTGTGATTCTTTGTAAATTCATATGCAGGATGGCTAGTCCTTGACCTCAGGGGGAGAAGGCAGATCCAGGGAGTAAAGGGCATTGGTTAGGGTTCCTCAGCAGAGGCAGAGGTGGGAAAGGGCCAGTTGCTGGTGTCTCTGAGAAGCCTCTGATCGGCTTCCAGTTAAGAAGCCCCCATCACATTAATGTTCTAGGGTCCAGGGGAACAGGGAGTTGGAACTGTAAGACATGGGTCCTTCTCATGCTAAGTCAAGGGTTAATCTCTTTCCTTTCTAGAGAAGAGATAGGGGGAGGGAAGGGAAGGTCCCAGGACTCCTGCTTCTAGGATCCCAGAAGCAAAAGAGGATTGCAGGGTTTTGCTGAGCCTGTTCTCAGCCTTCTGTGAGCTCTGTCACATTCTGCTCTGAATGGCCAGTGATGAATATCCCACCGACACCTTCTGAAGGCTCAGGCCACTCCACCTGGGAGGCCTGAGCCTATAGGCATTCCTAGAGTTCTGGGAGCTCTAACCTTGAAGGTCATGGATTCTGAAAGGAGGGTTCAGGATAGAGAGAGGTGGGAGCTAGGGGCAGCAGGTCCAGAAATTGCTCTGAAATGAGGGTTTGAGGGTTCCTACTTAACCTGGATTCAATTCCTTGGTGCATCCCCCCTCCCCCCGGCTCCTTTTCACATCAGGGTTTAGAGCAGAACAGTGAACCCTGGTATGTAAGGCCCATGGGCTTGGGGAGAACTCACTCTCAGAGGCCCAAGCCTGGACTGAAGCCTGACAGAAGCAAGACAATAGACACTGTCCTAGGCATCAGATAAACCTTGTCCCCTACCTCAGCCTGGGGAAGTCTGGGAAGGGCACCTTAGGCCGGTGGCTCTCAGCATTTCTAACGCTGCGACTTTTTAATACAGTTCTTCATGTCGAGGTGAACCTCCAGCCAGAACATTATTTCTTGCCAATTCATAACTGTAATTTTGTTACTGTTATGAATCGTGATGTAAATATCTGTGCTTTCAGATGATTTTAGGCAACCTCTGTAAAAGGGTTGTTTGACTCCCAAAAGGGTCACAACCCACAGGTTGAGAACCATTGCCTTAGTCATTCGTTTCTTATCAGTGCCACACCTGGCCCTTTACCAATGGCTCCTTTGCCACTTTGTTGGAGCCTGGGAACATGCATTTGTGAGAGGCCTTCATCCAAACTGTCCACACCTCAGCTGGGGAGAGTCTTCCAAGAGAGGAGCAGGCCAGCTTGCTGCCCAGGCATTAAGTGGGCCGGTTGGGGTGGCTGGAGAAACTGCAGGTAGATGGCAGGCTTGGAGCTCTTCTTTGCTCCTCCACCCTCCTTCCCGCCCAGCACTGGGTGGAGCCACTGCCTTATAAGTGGCTGGCCCGGTGGCAGCAGAGCAAACTACATCCAGCAGCAGGATCAGAGGGCAGCTCCTTTCTCCCGCATGGCCCTCTCAGCTTGGGCCATCTACTGCCTCCTGGGGAGCCTCCTGCTCCCTGGGGGCAGCCCCAGCCCTGGTCCCAGCCCCACTATGCCTCGTCTGCGGCTCTCCTACAGAGGTACTGGCTGGTGCTGCCCTGTTTGTGTGCATGTTGCGAATGTCTGTGGCTTTAGGACATCCCCTCGCCAGCAGCAGCAGGGGTAGAGTCAGACCCTGCATATCCCTGGGGAAATGCTTCTTGGCCAGACCCTGGATGATGCTAGGAATGACTGTGGAAGGCTTCTTGGTCAGACCCTGGATGGTG